CCCACCACCCACCACCCACCACCCACCACCCACCACCCACCACCCACCCACCACCCACCACCCACCACCCACCACCCACCACCCACCACCCACCACCCACCACCCACCATCCACCATCCACCATCCACCATCCACCATCCACCCCCACCACCATCCACCAGGTCCCGAATGGGTAGTGTTTTTAATTACGGTCCCGTCTAGTGTCTTTTTACAAAAAGATGCCGTACTGTTTTGGGGACCCAAACCGGATCCTAATGTAGAGAACTACCCAAAAAGAATAGAACTCTTATAGAAACCCCATATAGAACCCTTATAGAAACCTTATAGAAACCCTATAGAAACCCTTATAGATCCCTTTGGAGAGCCTGAGTTAGAGAACTACCCATATAGAATAAATAAAGAGCCTAAGTTAGAGAACTACCCCTATGGACAGCGCAGTAGCGTGCCAGGGCCCGAGCCATGAAAAAGCCCGAGCTCGAAACCAGGCCCTTCAAAGACAGAGTAAGGGAGAGAGCAGTTTAGGGGTTTAGGGTTGAGGGGGTTCAGGGTATAGGGGTTTAGGGCTTTAGGGGTTTAGGGTTTAGGGGCTCAGGGTATAGGGATTTAGGTTTTAGGGGTTTAGGGTTTAGGAACTGAAGACTTAAACCACATACCCTTAAACCCAGGAAAGGTTGCTTGGGAGAGCCCGGGTTAGTGCAACTGGCCCTGGCGAACTTCTTCATCTTCGGTGTGAGGGCGGCCCTCATGAAGCACTGCAGCACATTTGATGGTTCAGGGTTTGGGGTTCAGGGGTTTAGGGTTTAGGGTGTTGGATTCAGGAGGTTATCGAAGACTTTGAAGTTTGCTCTAAACGTGTTGCAAAGGGGCTGCTCGGCTCTCTCCGTGCTTCGGTGTTCAGACTGGAAACCCCAAGCCGCCTCAAAACTCAAACCCTAAACCATTAACCCCTGAACCCAGAACCCCGAAACCCAGATTCTGCCCCAACCCCTAAACCAACCCTAAACCCTAATAAACCCTAAGCTTAAAATAAGAGAGCAGATGTTGATCCTACCGACTACGAGATGTGGATGGCGGGCTCGGGGTTTAAGGTTTTTTAATTTGAGGGCTTGGAATTATCGAGTTCGGGTTTCTCTAAAGCTATACCTCAATCTATCTTTAGTCTCTCTGACTATGTCTATCTGTCGAGTCTCTTTTTTGTGGATCTATCCATGTGTTTGTCTACTTATCTATGTGCCTGCCTGCCAACCTATCCATCAACCCACCCATTGATCTATCGATCTGTCTGTCTGCAAGTACGTTTTAATGCAGAGAGAGATGTATGTGTACATGCATACATACGTACGTACATACGTACATACATGCCGTCCCAGCAGAGGGAGCCTGAGAAGCGTTATAAGAGCAGAGTCGACGACTTAACCGCAATATGATGTAGAGTTCGTGGATTCGGGCAAGAAGTTTAGGGTTTAGCGTTAAGGGCTCAAGTTTAGGGGTTTAGGGCATGAAGTCAAAGGAATTGGCTGGCGTTCCACCTCTTTGATGGCTCGACCAAAGCTGCCGCGCCCTACTTGAGCGCCTTTGAGTTTGGAGGGCTGCTAGGCAGCGTCTTTTCCGGCTCTTTGAGCGACAGGTGGGAGCTTCGCAAAACAGGGAGCAGATTATGTGTATATATATATATAATATGCACACAAGCACATGCATACATATATATATATATACACGCATATACGGATAACAGACCCAGAGTCAAGATTCATGATTGCACGGTTGATTTCCCGAAGCTCACAGGTGGTGGCAGGCCCGTGGCGACGAAGCGCCCCTGACCGGCAGCCGCATTCAGGTGGCGGTGGCTGCTGTTACCTTCATCCTGCTTCCGGCGGCCCTTCTTCTTGCCTGCCTGGATCGCGCTCCCAAACTTCACTTTGCCGCCATGTTTGCTGGCGGCTTTGGGCTTTATGTGGCGCAGGCGCTCTCGGCGCTTTGTGGCTTGGAGTCCGTCTCCGCCCGCGCGGCCGGCGTCTCGCAAGGGCTCCTGGGTTGGGCGGCTTACACTGGCGCGGCGGCTGCCGGGCTTCCTCTGGGCTGGCTCATCCAGGGACCCTTTGGCTGGAAGGCTTGGAAACCCTAAACCCTAAACCCTAAACCCTAAACCCTAAACCCTAAACCCTAAACCCTAATCCCTAAACCCTAAACCCTAAACCCTAAACACTTTGGCTGGAAGGCTTGGCGCCTCTCTTTGGCCCTGGGCTCGGCCCTGATCTCCGTGCTCCTTTTGCCGCTCTGGCGCCTTCCCTCCTATGAGCAGCGAGCAAGGAAAGTGCGCCCCCGCCAACCAAGGCTTCCCAACATGTCCGAACTTATGGCGAAGGTACAGAATCATTGTAGGTGTAACTTGGTAAACTGTAACTCTGCACCCTTAGGAGACTCAAACTCAATAAAGCCCTAGCGCCTAAACCTTAAACCCCTCTAAGCCTCTAAACCCGAAGGCCTTAAACCCTTATAAGCCCTAAACCGCAAAGCCCTACACCCCAGCATCCTCAAGCCGCGAATCCCATCGACTCCAGCCTCCTTCGCCCGAAACCACAGGGTGGACGGCTGTAGGGCTTGGGGGGTTTAGGGTTTGGGAGGTTAGGGTTCAGAGTTGGGAGGTTAGGGTTTAGGGTTGGGAGGTTAGGGTTTAGGGTTTGGGGGGGGGGTTCCCTGGAGTCTATACTGCGCGTCGGCTTTAGGGTTTTCAGGTCAAGGGCCTGTATGGGGTAAAGGGATCCGCTGGGTACAGAGTCGCGGGTCCGGCGTCTAAAGTTAAGGAGCTGGCGGCTTCGGGATCCCTGCTTCATGCAGAGACCTATAACTTACATGTTTTATTGGGTTTATAGAGCTTTTAGGGTCTATACGGTTTAGGGCTACGTATAGGGTTTAGGGCTTAGGGTCCACAACTGTGATCATTGTCATCCTACTGGTCTTGCGAAGACTCCAAACCGTTAGCCGTATACAGAGTCAAACCAGTACATGTTGTAGCCAGGCCGTGCGGCAGCTGAGCCAGGTGGGCTTCGTTTTCTTTGTTGAGTTTAGGACTTGCCGTTGCCGCTCCGGGGTTTGGCGTTCATTGCAGTTTTGGGCTTGGGCGCTGAAGTTTTGAAGCTTATACTAGCATTGCTAACGAGGCAATATCAGTAAGAGTTTGTCCGCGATATTGGTATAGCAAAAACCTCTAGCTGCTCAACCCCATGCCCTACAACTGCAAACCCCCCCTCACGCCCAACTCCCACACACTGAAACCCTAAACCCTGAATAAATTAAAATCCTAAACCTTAAATCCCTAAACCCTGAAACCCTAAAAACTAAAACCCGAAAACCCTAAGCCCCTTAGTCTTCAGGGTTTCCAGATAAAAGCCGTCTAAGCCTTCAGCCCCACTCTCAAGCGGTGAGACCTAAACGCCGAGCCCTCGGAGACTACCGTTCTTGAGGGCTCTAGGCACACCCTACAAGCCTAAAACGCAGCACGGACTGGCAGAGCCCTGAATTCTAAAACATTTAAAGTCGGGCAGACATCCGAAACCCACCTAAAACCCTGAAATCGTGACCTACGGGCTGCGTAGAAAGGGAGCTGCACAAAACAACTTAACCCGAAGCCACCAATGAACCCCTTATAGAGCCCAAAGAGGAACCTGAAGAGGATCCCTTAAACGAAGTATTGAACCCATAGAGCCCTAAGCCCTAAAGCCCTGAACCCCGAAACCTCTATGGCACCGTTCACAGGAACCCTAAAAGGATCCCTAAACCCTGCCATGAACCCTTATAAGAACTCCTTATGGAACACTCAAAGTATCCCTAAACCCATCTATGCCATATAAACCCTATAGAACCCCATATAGAACCCAAAAAAAGATCCCTTAAAGGAACCCTCGAACCCTAAACCCCCAAAAGCTCGAGAAAAGGACCTCGAGGCCCTGCGCAAGGGCCTTGCGCAGCGCGGCCCGGAGGCTTTTAGCCCTTTAGGGTTTAGGGTTTAGAGTTTAGGGGTTTAGGGTTTAGGGTTTCCAAAAATGAGGGCCAGGGTTGCTGTAAGGGCTAGTTAAAGTGCCATAAGGGTTCCTCAAAGGGTTCTATCCGGTTTTGGGTTTTTGTTGGTCTGTGTTTAGGGTTTTAGGGGTTACAGGTCTTTGCAGATAAGAGTTGCTTTGAAGGTACGGATTTAGGGTTTAGGGTTTTGGAGTGTTCATGTAAGGGTTCTATAATATGTTTTTGTTCGCGTGGCACGAAACTCAGATCTGGCGTAGACTTTAGCGAGCATATCGCCATCACGAGGGCGCGCCTGACTGGTGGGGTTTAGGGGTTTAGGGTTTGGGGTTCTTCATGGTTCTTCCACTTTCAGATCCTAAACTCCGGTCCTAAACCCTAAATTCCGTAAACCCTTATAAACCCTAAACTTTGGGCTCTTGGCTTCGTCCTCCATCTTTCCTCCTTGGTCTTGGCAGCGTAGTTTTCATGTGGCCTTAAAAAACCCCTAACCCGGAAACCCTAAACCCGGAAACCCTAAACCCCTAAACCCTAGCCTTAAAAACCACTAAACCCTAAACTTAAAAAAACCCTAAACCCCCCTAAACCCCTAGAAACCCTACAAACCCTACAAACCCTAAAACCTAAAGGGCAAAAAGCCAGACTGCGACTAGGGGCCTCCGGGTGTCGATGTCGCCAAGCTCGCTGAGAAGATTTGTGAGGCTGGGATGGTTTTTGGGTAGCTCTCTAAATTAGGGTTTAGGGTTTAGGGGGGGGTCCTTTTTATAAGGGTGCCGTACTATATTGGGGATCTAATATTCGAAAACAACCTTTTTGGCGCTGAAGGTTTAAGGGTTAAGGGTTTGGGAATTGGCGCTGAAGGTTTATGAGGTTTAGGGTGTAGGGTTCACGGTTTAGGGTTTTAGGCTTAAGGGCTTTAGGGTCTATAGCTATTATGGGTAGGGTTAAGGTTTAGGCTTGAGGGTTTGAGTGTGCAATGGCCTGCACCATGAAGGGTGGCTTGAGGCACCGTCCCCCAGCGCGGAAGAACAATGGTAGCAGAAAACCCTAAACCCTAAACCCTAAGCCAGCATAGCTTACTCGTTTGCATGCTTGCAGCTTCCATCTTCGAAGCAAGGACAGCTCTGGCCAATAAGAAGCACGAAGACTACACAGGCACTAGACGCGACCCCTCTAAATGACTTAAATGAGTGCCAAAAGGAAACGTGGTCTGTTTTTCCCGACATGACGATCATAGACTCCAACGGCGGACGGAGAAGACCTGTGGGGATGGTATAGAACCGCGACAAAATGCCTATGTACAAGAAGATCTTTGTAGAATCCTAGAGCCCAAACCCTAAAAACCTCGAAACAGCCGAGTGAATACTACACCCCGAAACCTTGGCTACTATCCCAGGAGAAGATCGAAAAGCTGGCGATTTCGGAGCACACCATGAAGTCTCAGGCGGATTCGGCTTTGGTAGCTTGAGGGTTTGGAGTTCAGGGCTTAGCGAACAGTTTTCTTGTTTCGGCTAGAGTTTTCCCATTCGCAGGGACTCCAAACGCTCGCTCAAGCAAGGGAAATCTCTTGAACGAGTTAAGTTTTTGGGTGATTTTGGGCGTGAAGGGTGTTGGTCTGATGTCGGGGAGCTTGGATTTGTGCCGATGTGGTTGCTCTTCGACGGCAGGTGCCCCCTACCGGCTGTCCCCCAAACCCCGCGCAGCTTCAGCCCTAAACGGCAGAAGCCGGGCCGACACCCGCAACCCCAACACAGATCGCACAACAGTGAATGGGAGAGGGCGGGCCTCGCTTAAGGCAGTTCCTAGGCTTTTCCGGTTTTGTTCGAAAGAGCTTGTTTTATCCGCTTGGTTTCCGAATGTTCGCATAATATGAGTTTTCTCTTTCTGCATGTGTTTACCTACACATATGTTTATACATATATATATATATACATATATATATATATATACATATATGCATACTCATAGGCCTGGACACCAATGTCTACAAGACTGAGACTTGGGACAAAGTGCTGCAAGCCAAACATGCGAAGTACAGACATATCCTCACAACTCCTTGATGTCCCATGAGTATACCCTCAAACCCTAAGCCCAAAGCCCCAAACCCTAAGTCCTAAACCCTAAACCCGAATGCCCTAGACCCTAAACCCAAGGCCCCAAATCCTAAACCCAAGGCCCCAAATCCTAAACCCTGAAAATCTCAAGCCCTAAACCCTAAAC